CAAGGCAAGTACATCCTTCCTTAAATGAGACCACCAAAACTGGACACTATTCCAGGTGTGGTCTTACCAGGGCCCTATACAGTTGCAGCAAGACTTACCTACTCTTATACACTAATCGTTTCATAATGAATGCTAACATACCGTTCGTCTTCCTAAGGCCTGGTTTACAGGAAAGGGGTGGGGGGGTGAGGGAGGCAACATACCTGTGTACGGGGGCGCGAAACACTCAGATCAAGAGTGGCCTGAGATCAAGTCACACAATAATGTGCTCATGTAATGTTTGCGGGGGCATTTCATATCATCATCAACTGATTGCCGGCACTTGCTTTGCCACATTCAAGCCCTGAACACGCTGGGACCCTCCCCTGTGTGAGGGGCACTATGCAATGCAATAAATGCAAGATGTTGTTGTGGTTTATATCTTTTTTTTCTGCAAAGCCAGCTGTGATAGACACGTCAGGTTTATAAATGCCGGTTTGTAGAGTAAACGGTAATAGAATCGTGATACACGAGTTTTTAATTAATGGCACAGAAAATAAAAGCAGGTTAAATGTCACAGAAATCTTCCTATTTCATCTGTTCATCAAGTGAATCCACTCACAAGTTTACAGGAAAGGGGTGGGGGGGGTGAGGGAGGCAAAATACCTGTGGGGGGGCGAAACACTCAGATGGCCTGAGATTAAGTCACACAATAATGTGCTCATGTAGTGTTTGCGGGGGCATTTTATATATGGAAGGAACAAACCTTTCACTCATTCCTGATGGCACAACAATCATGAGCTGCTCTGATATCCTGCTGGAGTTACCATGTGTCACTCTGGAGAGAGGTTAAAAGGGCCATTATCCCTGAAAATTTGTCTCACAAAAGTAGTGCTTCTGGCAACAGACATGAATAGCATTGGCAGGCTGTTAGTGTGGCACTCACAAGTGCTGACACATCAAGCTCACGTGCTTACAGAGTGCCACTGTTAAAGCGAATAAACCATCTCCGCTAAAGCTTCCAGCTTCCATTCTACTGACCCCCAAAGCCACAGAACATCTGAATTAACCAGCTCCGACAGTGTGATTGATGGATTAATCCAGCGCCTTGGGATGTCCTTCCGATGTGGAAAGCACTCTATAAATCTCATTTGTTTTTGTTGATGCTAGAAATCCTCAACAAAAAAATCTGTATTATGCTTAATTTCTGGCCCTGACACCTCTAGTTCTCTATGAGGAGTCTGGGCCTATTCCAGCAGTGGTTTGTGAGCAGCACGTCACTGCTCTCCGCGTTTGTGTCTGGCTAGACCGAGGATATGTCACAGGCACCTTTTCACTAAACCAACAGATGCTTCAGGATATTAGATTGTTTTTTAACTGTGGAGCCGGTATCTCTCAGGTTCCCTGGAGCCGAGAACCATTCTCAGTTGGAGACAAAAATAAGCAGTAAATATGGCCTCAATGTGATCATCACAGTGGAAGGATTTTAAGTGTTTATTTTTTCCCTCACTTCCTCACTTTTAGATATCAACAAAGAGTCTCCTGCGTTGCTTCCTCCCTTTGCTGGATGAGCAGAGTTCCCGGCCCTGCATCCACACGTAACTTTTCTCCAGCCGGGATCCTGGATAGGGATCGGGAAGAGAAAAGCTGGACAATTCCTTTTTCTCTCACTGCGATGCACAGACAAAGAGCAGTGTCTGTGTCAATGCCAGTCTGAGATCAGGTACCTCAAAGAGACACCAGAACATTTAACATTCCTCATTAACAGTCCCAGAAAAATAGTCACTACAGCTAATAATTACTGTGAAGCACTTTGAGATGTTTCAGTATAAGGTGCTATAAAAATGAGAGTTCTTTCTGTATCCACCCCCTCTTCATTGTAAATTTCCTCTGGTTCAGGGATGGCAGATAAGCATAATATGTTGAAGTGCTGCCTGTTTGATGTGAAGTCAGACTGGAGAACAGAAGAAACAGCCACGTTTGATCTAAGGCCCCTTCCTTCACCGCTAACATGGGGCACCTTTTAAAAGGTGAAGATGGGCAGGAAACAGGGTTACTCATAAGAGAAAGTAAACGTCAGCCTCTCTGAGCTCTTGCTTTCAATAATTATTCATTTCACCCACATCATCGGGAATCCCCCTCGCTGTGAAGCGCTAAAACACGTCTCATTCAAGTCAAACTTTCCCCTTTTTTAACCTTTAATCTGCTGAAAACCAAACCGCAGTCGAAATCTGCAGGTACTGCGGTATCCAAAGAGTTAAATATCTGCCCGAATGTAGTATTACACTAACGCTAAAAGTACGGGTGTGAAGTATATGATGTACAGTATGTAATAATAATAATCCGTGCATTTGATAGAGCGCTTTTCACATCTTCAAGACGTCTCAAAGCGCTTCACAGGATACACTGTAAAGTGAATTGACTGTATATTTGTGAGCGAATGTGGTTGACAATGACTCACTCCCCCCTCAAAATTAGTTATATTTTAAAATATGCATTATGTAAAATGCCAACATTGTGTATTGGAGCTCAATAACCCCTGACTTACCCTACATTAGCCATTACATCAGCCTGGGGTGACACAGATACAATAGCAGCACCGACTGTGGACACAAACAAGGATTTTTGTTCAGCACAAAACAGCTGCCTGTCTTCAGAGTTGATGATGTCACTGGCCATGTCCCTCACCCTCTCACGCTCTTCTCCTGATGCTCCAGCTAAGCTGATAATGGCGCTCGCAGGCTTTGATGTGACAACAATGTCCACAAGACTGGTATGGACGCCAGGGCTACATAGAAGGATGTTACAATGGGGGGGGGGCCTTGTACTTTGTCACTTTGTTGTATTATTTGTCTTTGGTTAATTTCGCCCTATATAACCTGATAAAATCGAGATGTCACATTTAGCTGATTAATACAGTTGTTAAATTGCTGCTGAAGCAAAACTACATTTCTCGAGGCCTATACCTCCACACTTACTCCCAGAACAGAGTTCGTAGTTTGATGGTTTACATGCTCTCTCCCCTCCTCGCCCCCTGTAACGTCAATCATGGCAAACCTCACCGATAGTCTGGGAAATGAAGGCCGAACACTCCTGGCAAAGGGAGGTGGACAATGGGAGGTTTTCTCCCAGAACGTAAAATGTTCCACCTGAACGAGACAGCCACAGACTGAGCTGCTGACAACAGCCTGGACTCACTGCCGGCGATTTGCTGCCTTTCAGATTATTGCCTTCACGACTTTGCTATGACACATGCTCGCTGAGCAACACGAGTAGTATTGTCTGTGTGCTCGGAGTTAAACAAGATCTCTGTTTAAGATCAGACCTGTGTTAGCTTTAGCCACTCGATAGTGATCTAAGATTTTTAAAAAAACAAATCGGGAAACAGAATAACTGCTGACTGATGGGACACAGTGAGAACACAGTGGTTATCAGGGAGAATAAGAGAAGATTTGAATATGTTGCCAGAGATTTAACTGCTGCCAATTGACAATGAATATACTGTACAATGATAGTCCCTAGTATGACATTTTCCTCAATATGCTTTAACTGATTTCTCTAAGTTACCTTTAGTTTGCTAGTTACAAGTGACCTCAGACTGTGTAAATCCTAGGATAAAGGGTATCACATTTCCAGAGCTCCTGATTGTATGCTGCGTGTGTTGGCTGGTCTGTTTCTGAAGACAGAAGGACCTTGTGCCACATGCTTTCAGCTGTTATGTCACAAAGCGTGGCTGGAATGTTTGACGGCAGATTACTAGGAAATACCCTGTGTGGTACTTCACTCTGATTGACGGTGACACATTTTGCGTTTGTAGGTTTCAAACTCCATTAAAACATACCCTGAGCCATACACTGTACCTGCCCACCCCACAGGCATCGTCCCTGCCCACCCCACAGGCATCGTCCCTGCCCACCCCACAGGCATCGTCCCTGCCCACCCCACAGGCATCGTCCCTGCCCACCCCACAGGCATCGTCCCTGCCCACCCCACAGGCATCGTCCCTGCCCACCCCACAGGCATCGTCCCTGCCCACCCCACAGGCATCGTCCCTGCCCACCCCACAGGCATCGTCCCTGCCCACCCCACAGGCATCGTCCCTGCCCACCCCACAGGCATCGTACCTGCCCACCCCACAGACACAGGAGTTAGGATTTGTGTAAAAACAATGGGCTGGTGCTTTCATCTAGTTGAGTAAAATGTACGAGGGGAGCTATACCACCTTCATTGAAACAACAAAGACCATGCAATGCACAACCCTTACCTTGAGAGCAGTTCTGGTGAACACTGAAGCTGATTAAATAAATGCCCAGGTCTCAATGTATCTACAGATTCAGACACTGACATAGCAGGAGAGGGGCCGGAAGAGATGGGATTGTTTTAAAGTACAAAGTGAATTTCTAAACATTTTTCAATGCAAAATATCAGTGGGTTACACAAGTAGCTGATCTGATGGCTTATGTCAAAAATATTTCAGAAGCTTTAAATATTCTACAGACCGCATTCCCTCGACACTTTGAGAAGTTAATGGGAACTGAATGCTGAAGGTATTTCCTGCACATTACACACAGGCACAGGTATCACTTCACGCAATGCTCAACATTAACACTGTACGTGTTCTGTGAGTCATTCCCAATGTCACATTTTTATAAGCGTTAATAATTAATCATTAAAGTCGGGTCAAAACTGAATTGAAATTAAATCATTGGTAACGTTTCACATACGTTTTACTAAAGAAACATCCCCCGCTGCAGCTTTTGGTGACTTGAGCCACTTAGTATAGAGCCACACAGACATCAATCAACAAGAGTCAACAACAAGAAGTTACATTTCTATTGCGCCTTTCACATCAGGAGGACAAGGCATCAAGCAGTTACATATCTGATCAATTGTGTATAATAAATTCTGGATCCTTCCCTCCAAGATCTTCAGGAATGTATGACCTAACGGAAGCTAACAACAACAGCAGCAGCAGCAAATACGTTTGTATAAATCGCAGTAAAAATGAGAAAGCTGCTTACATTTCCATCCAGGCTGCATAGACTGAGCGCGTCTTCATCTCGCTTCCTTTGCTTCCTTTTCTTCTGCAAACAAAACCATAAACAATTCAGTCAGACCAGGGAACAGCAACCTTTCCCACCCAAGTTGATGGTTCACATTTCTAGGATTGTGCTAAACACTCTAGATACGGAATATTATATTCGGAATTTCTGAAACATTGAGATTAAACCTAGATAGCAGTGGAAATTTTCCTCCATGGTTTTACTTTCTCTCTTTTCCTGGACATATCCAAAACTCTGCTCCTCTGTATATCGATCACCCTTGTCAGGCTCCACTTCACCCCTCACTGCTAAACCTCAACATTTCCTGGCAGCGTCCCACCTTGCTGATTGCCTGGCCCAGCCTCTGCCCACCCACTCTGTTTGGCCAACTTGGGCTTGTGTGTATATATCCCCTTTCCCCCCCACTATCTAACCTCTGGGACTCCCTTCGTCTCGTCCCCTCTCTATCAGTCTTCAGGTCCAGTGTTAAAATCGATCTAGGAACATAGAAACAGGAGTAGGACATTCAGCCCCTCAAGTCTGTTCCGCCATTCTATTAGATCCAGGCTGATCTGTACCTCAACTCCAAATACTCGTCCATATCACCACCAACAACAAATTACATTTGTATAGCGCCTTTCACAACATATCATTTGATACCTTGACCTACCTCAGTCCTTCCGACAGGGTGGAAAATGGAGACTGTTATTAGGATTATTATATGGCAGAGGATGAATATTCTGGAGGATGTTTTGCTCAATATTTTCAGGTTCAGAGTAATTACTGTATCCAAATTTTGCCCCCCGCCCTCAAAAAGAGATAGAGTAGTTTGGGTGCAATCCATAATTGGGTAAGTTTCCCCAGCGCAGAGGAGCAGACTTTAATGGGACGAATTATTGGTTTGTCCTTTCTTTTGTAGCTGTCATTCATACACATAATGGCCCCAAGCAGCTCATGCCTGTGGACCTGCATTCACTGCTGAGAGTGCGTTTATTTCTTTACATTAAAGAATAGTACTCTTGTTCAACAGTGGAATACAGTAATGCCTGTGTTCAGCCTTTACCTACAAACTGACCTCTCGCTCCCTCCCACTTTCCCTGATGTCTGGTTACAGATGCAATTGGTAGACAATCAGGAGAAGAATACCAGAGCGCAGAACAAGATGGGGGCGGGAACTTGAAAGGAGGGAAAGGAAGAGAGGAACATTTTGAAGTGAGTGGAGGAGAAACAAAAGGAAATGTCCGGGCGGAAGCTCACACTTGTGTACGCGTAAATTTGGGCAAAAGACATTTGCTGATAACATGTCATGTCTGGAAAAGTTAGATAAGATCTCTCTCTCGCTCTGCATTATGTGTGAGGGTCATATCGTGACTGACATCTGACAATCATTTAGTACATTCAGCTCAAAATAGTCTCTCGTTTTCTGCACAGCAACAGGATTGTATTTATGCCACAAGTGCAAATAGCACAGAATATAGGCAGCTAGTCATGAGCAGATGAAGGAAAGCAGTAAACTAACAGGTCTGTTTAACATCATATTCTCCTGTTCCTAAAACAAACTGAGCTGGCTCACAGAATGCTTTGGGTCGGCTTAAACCCACAACCTCTATTAAATAAACTGCTGTTCCCACACTTGCTCCTATTGGGTCAATCGCTTGGGGACTTTTATTGGTAGATTCGGTTCCACGTCCTTTTCAAGAGTTTGCAGATTCCAGCAAACAGATCATGTGTTTACATAGAACTCTTTATGGAGCAATGTAAGGTAAAGGTGAGCACAACACCCAAAGGCGCAATGACAGGATGAGATAGCGATTACTGACAATAATGCTCCTTCAAGTTTACCAGCTTGTCTCTCACTTCACTTGGGGATTGTTCGGGTATTGAAATCTGAACAATTAGGATTCCAGTGAACATCTCGTGCCTGCGGCAAACATGCAAGTTCACTGGCTGCCAAAATGACAGGAATGTACAACCACAAATGAAAGTCTCCTCGGATGCCTCTTAAACTCAACCTCAACAACACGCAACAACTCGCCAACAGCCCACACGTCAATCCAGGTGTGGCCCTGCAATAGCCCAGAGGCCTCTGCATGTCCAACCTCCGATGAGTGCCCGCCCCAGTCACAGCACCCCCCTGTGGCTGGGGAGGACCTATGCCTATCTCGCCACTTGGGATAACTTGACCATTGTGTTGCCTAGTGCATCACATCACACAGAATATAGACATGTCATCATTTCTTAACAGACTTTATACTCTATTAAAATGATATCGACACGTTGACCTTTGTACAGATCATGATGAAGGACTTCAACTGAGTAAATTCATATTTTTTGACTTTTCCACCCATTGTCAGCAACAGATCAGCAACTTCACAGGGTAATGTTTACTAACCCACCCCCCTCACCCCACACACATACCCACACACACCAACAATTGTAACTCAACTTCAATGCTTAGCGAAGAACCTCTTACGGTCTAGTGTGACATTTCGATTTCCTTGTGTCTTCTCCAAGACGACCAAAGAAAAGGAGGCAATCACCCGATTGGTCTGGTCTGAATCCAAATCCCAGCTCTAGAGGTTTAGACACTCCTAATGCCACCACCTGACTCCCAAACCTCCAGTCTTTACGCTGCTCAATACTGGCTAATAAAAATCAAGAAGATTTTGAAAAATGACGCAACCTTCATCAGAAAAATGGCATCTGACAAATTCCTCTTAAATCCCTCCCTCTCTCCAGTTATTGGGGCTGTGGTTTTACAAATGTGTAACGCAAGCACCGTTCTGACTTGTCGGTCATTTGGCACCATCACATCGGTCCTTGTGGAAGGTAAGAGCTGAAGGCGTTTGCTTTTTTTTTAACAGTAAAGAAATATCTTGGATTCCACGATGTAGGATTGGAATCTGGTTTCAGAGCCACAGGGAAATCAATCCGTAGAACTCGACACTAAGAACATCCAACCTCGCCTATCTGTACATGTGTCATTGCCTCAAAATACCTCACTGATGGCACAAACTGTAGTCAGCGAGCCACAATCTATTGGTAGCATTCTCTGAATAGTCGTGTTTACTTAAAGCTCTGCTAAGAGCAGAACTGATATTCCACCAACATTTTTAAACTCGTCTTCAAGACAGACATTCTCAACAATATTATAACTCTGTGGCATCATTTGTTCTAAAAGACAGAACTCGTCTGATAGTTTACAATTGCATTATTTTTTGATAAAAAACAGCCAAAGTCAATTCTTTAAAAAAACTGTGCCTTTCACTGCTCAAATCACAAAATGTCGGAGTTTATGTTGGTTCCTGGGAGGATAACATTCCACAAGACAGCTTAGAAGGAAATTACTGGAATTTGAAATGAAAAGGAATGAACGGTGAGAGTTCAGGAGGACCCGAGGACCCCAGGCGGAAAGTGTCCATCATCAGGGAAATGTCAAACCCAATTCTTGGGGTGTGAGCGAGACCCTGATCTCTTTCCACGTGTCTCACAACCATCACCAGTCGTTGGATTGGGGTCTGCAGGCTGTGTCTGTGCAACTAGATTTCAATAACATGTGCAGAAGTAAAAACACTGCCCTCCCCAGGCTGGTACCTGGACTGTGAACCTACTGCAGGCCACTGGGCACCAGTGTTAACACAACACAGGATAGCGATAGCAGAGCCACAGGAACAGCTCACGCTGAGGCCAGGGCACAGCAGTCATTAGGGCTCAATGATGGGGAACTGATAGCCTGGGAAACTACAGCAGTTGACAAAGATTACCACACCTCCCCACCCCACACGCTCCCCCAGTATTACAATCGATTGGCAACCTAGACAATGTGCTCAAGTCGCAGTGTGTGTGTACAGGGTTTGTGCATGTGTGTGCATGCGTGGGTTTGGGTGTGTGTTGGGTGTCCATGTGACCTTTCTATAGGAGAAGGGAATATTAGCAAATAAAAGTGGGAATTTACTAGCTACTGAGTGTTGCTATTTACTGTGGCAAACTGCACCCGGATGAGAAGCTGAATGAATGTAGGGTTACATCTTGACCTTATCCTGTATATGTCACCATTATCAAATGTTACACCTGTAGTTTGGTGGCAGGGAGCAAAGCGGAAATTTCTGCAGACACCACCATCAGCGAGGTGTTGTAATGGCAGTAACACAGCGAGATTGCTGACTATTCACATCAGCACAGAAGTCAGGAGATATTCACCACTTCTTTGCTGCTTTCAAGCAGTTTAAAATGTCCCATTGTAAGGTACCAATTGTACCTTAGGTCCCATTGTAAGGCACCTCAGGCTCTGGCAACATCAACCTCCATGGTTGCACACTACAACTCACCAAGCCAGTCAGGAACCTAGGTGTCTTGTTCGACCCTCAACTGTCTTTTCTCCCCCTCATTCAAGCCATGACCCGCTCTGCCTTCCCTCACCTCCGTAACATCGCTCGACTCTGCCACTACCTCACCCCTCAGGCCACTGAAACTCTTATTCATGCCTTCATCACATCCAGGCTCCACTATGCAAATGCCCTGCTCGTCGACCTTCCCAACTCCTACCTCGACAGGCTGCAGATAATCCAGAACTCTGCAGCCCATGTCCTCTCCTGCACCAAACTCCGTGACCCCATCTCCCCCCCTCTCGCCCGACTCCATTGGCTCCCTATCCTTCAGAGGATCCAGTTCAAGATCCTGGTCCTCACATACAAAGCCCTCTATGGTCTCGCCCCACCCTAACTTTACGACCTCCTAACCCCCTACCAACCCACCCATTCCCTCCGCTCAGTCGGCTCTTGCCTGCTCCATGTCCCCCGACCCACCCGCCCCACCATTGGCAGGAGAGCCTTCAGCCACTCTACCCTCAACCTCTAGAATTCCATCCCCGAATCACTTTGCCTCGCCCCTTCCTTAGCTTCCTTCAAGTCCCACCTCAAGACCCTCCTCTTCGACCATGCCATCAGCCACCCCGCTTCCCTTCCCCAACTCGGGTCTGAAATCCTGTAATCTGTCCAGCACCTTGGGACGTCTTCCCAACATGGAAGGCACTATATAAATGT